TGTGTATGGTGTGTATGGTGTGTATGGTGTGTATGGTGTGTATGGTATGGTGTGTATGGTATGTATGGTATGGTGTGTATGGTGTGTATGGTATGGTGTGTATGGTGTGTATGGTATGGTGTATATGGTATAGTGTGTATGGTGTATATGGTGGGTATGGTGGGTATGGTGTGTATGGTATGGTGTGTATGGTGTATATGGTGGGTATGGTGTGTATGGTGTGTATGGTATGGTGTGTATGGTGTGTATGGTATGGTGTGTATGGTATAGTGTGTATGGTGTATATGGTGGGTATGGTGTATATGGTGTGTATGGTGTGGTGTGTATGGTGTGTATGGTGTGGTGTGTATGGTGTGTATGGTATGGTGTGTATGGTATAGTGTGTATGGTGTATATAGTGGGTATGGTGTGTATGGTGTGTATGGTATGGTGTGTATGGTATAGTGTGTATGGTGGGTATGGTGGGTATGGTGTATATGGTGTGTATGGTGTGGTGTGTATAGTATGGTGTGTATGGTGTACGCACGCGTCTTCAAATGAAGGCAGCAAAGAACAAGAATTACTTGAAGACAGCCGAGAAGTTTCTCAAATTTCATGAAAACTATATAAGCACAGGCCATAAGTCTTTATGAAGCTTGGGCAGAAGAAATACTTTAAAAATGCCACAGTAACACACCCAAGAATCAAACTGTTGGAAAGCTGGGCAGAGGGGAAATCTTGCAGTCAGAGGGAAGAAGACGTTAGACCCCCATCTAGCCAGACGAGAGTGACAGGAGACATCGTGTTAGGAACCGTGCAGAGGCAAAGCCAGTGGAACATTTCCTTTAAAGATGGAACATTCAACCCAGAATTCTACACCCATATTGCAGACATAGCTTTCAAAATGAAGGTAAGCCAACACATTTCTCAGACCAGAGAATGTATGCTCAGCAGGCGAATACTGCAAGAAATGTTACAGTAAGTCTTGCTGGAATACTGTGAAGTGGGAAGCCACTTCTACAAGAGGAATGAAGTCTGGAAATGGCTAAGCTAGTTAATTTTAAAATCCCTTTAGATGACAATTGGCTGTTTACAGCAAAATATTAACTGTGTATTTACTTATTACCTATGCGAAACTATGGCAACAGCATGAAGCATCATGGGGAAATAGATGGATGCTATTGTAAGGTCCTGACTTTAAATTTAAAGGAGTCCAGTTCTATTTGTAGACACAATCCCCCAACATTACAGGCTAAAGCTATTTGTTACTCTCCCTAACCTGATGGTAAAGTCCTATTGCTGAACACATACTTGCATCATTAAACATGGGAGAAATTGAGTTAGTGCCCAACTAGGAGCTTCATCCCTACTGAGTAGCACTGGAAATCACTTCAAATGCTACTGGAGGGGGAAAGTAATGAATTTCACCTGTAACTAGCAAATCAGGAGGTTGAACCAGCCATGCTGGCAACCGTATCACATGTAAACAGTATAAATGCTTCAATAATAAAGAATGAGACTGCCTGGCTGGATAGAAAACACCCAACCTCTCTCATACCCTTTTGCCTTTACCAGAGAGAGAGAGAGAGAGAGAGAGAGAGAGAGAGAGAGAGAAGGCCACCATCGTCTTGGTGCTGTGAGAGTTGAGGAACAAGAAGTTGTGTCAGCCCTAGCCGGGCTACAGCTGTCTGTGATAACCCTCTCTCCACACCTTCTCCTGAAGCCCTGGGCCTTTAGGGGGTTCACACCTTAGTCATAAGACACGCGTCAGCTACATACAGAGAAGCAAAGAGTCAGGGCTTGGCAGTGAGGGGCCTGTTCAGGAAGGGCCTCTTGGAGGAGCCAGGCAAGTGTGGGAAGGGGAAGAGACCCAGGATTCCATGATGTTCTCAGCTCTGGTGTGTCTACAAATAGAGAGGGCAGTCAGCAAGGAAGGCTAGGCGTTGGAGACACCCCTGCAGAGACTGTAGCGTCTGAGCACTGGTCCAGGGAGTAAACAGGACTTGTGTTTGGGTACCACTACGGGGACACAGCAGAAAGGCAGCTGGCCACACCTGAATCCTTACTTCCTCTCCCTCACCTGCACTTCTCACTCACAGACTCACTCCCAAGGCTAGCCCTCATTGTATGGGACATCTAGAAAATCCTCTCTGACACACACAGTGGCCTATTGAGACCCAGGACCAAGTACAAGTAAGCCCTGGCATCAGGCAGAGGGAGACATTACTGTCCACTCCACCGGAGCTAAGCTGAGGCTCACGAGAGGAATAACAAGGCAAAGAAGACAAAGCTACCCGCAGAGAGAACATGAAGGAAGCTGCTCAGGCCTGGTGTCTGAGGGGCAGAGCAGGACTGTGCTTCCGGGTGGGGGTGGGTGTCAGGAAGACTAGCCTCAAGGGGGTGAGAACTAAATTTCTGGTCAACAGGAGTTCAAGTCAAGCTATTAACAGTCCTTCTTACCTTTGGGTTCTACCCTCTGACCCCTAAATCCTCACTGTTTTCCCACTCCAGGCTCTACATTTCATGTACTGGCCCCACAGTTTCCCTCAAAGACCAGTATATAGTAAGTAGTTTCCCAGGGTGAATGGTCAGGGAAGACATGAGCCTTAAAATGGCTGGAGGAGTCACCTGGAGGATGGATGGAGATGGCCTCCAGGGTGCCACCACCCTGTTCACCCCTTCACCCAACTCAGGTTGGATACACAACTGGGAGACCCCTGGTTGCACCTCAGCCACTGCACCTTAACGGACTCCTGGCCCAGACTTGGCTTACACGGCACACTCCCTTAGAAGCTGACGGGTCATATGCTACCCAAGACCAGAGCCAAATAAGACAAGATTCAATCTTTCCTAAGAATCTGGCAGTAAAAGTTCCAAGCCAGCAGGTGGGGGGGGGGCGCAGTACCCCAAACCCACCAGGAACTTCTTACCTGTATTCAAAAACCTCAGCAACAGTGTGTGTGCTCTGAAATTTCAGGGCCAGCTACTGTGGCACAGGGAAGAAGCAGAATGTAGGTCCTTTCTAGACAGGGGCTACCCTCAAGGCAGAGCTCATGCTGGGAGCATGTGTGCGCTTCTCTGGGGACGACTCAACAAGTGGCGGTGTCACGCAGGGCACTTCTGATCCCACTGGGATGTGGGGTGACACAGAAAGCTGGGGCAAGCATTCTTTCACTTATTCCCTCAATAAGCTGCAAGGGCAGGGAGAGTGGGCGGCGCCATTTCTCACTACGAGGAGCTGGCTAAGGGCCAGCGCAGGGGCATCGGCATCCTCTCAGCTGAGGCGCCTGGGGACACTCAGCAGACACCCTGCTCTGGGGTCAGCGCCTTCTTTTCTCCATATACCCTTGACAGTCGCCTACCCACATGCCCCAAGTGCTGCTCCAGGCTAGATACGTGGGCGTGGCTTTCCCACTGAGCAAAGGGAAGGTGGGGTACCACAGTGTACACCATGTCCACATGGGCGCGTGTTTTTCCTAAAGTGTGTGTTTCAGGGAGAGGCTGCAGTAGGGCGTACATCTTCCTAGGAGCCAGAGGTTGGTTTCTCATGTTAAGAGAGTCAACCATTTCAATAATATTTTCGCCTGTACCTTGGAGAGTGGAAAATTCAAGGCTAGCCAGAGTGCTTAAAGAACATATTGACAGAGCTGTGTTAGGATGTCTTCACATTCCTGAGATGCACAGGCCCCTTCCTGCTGGGCAGAGCCAGAGCACAGCTCTTCCTGTCTATAGCTTACTTGCAAAAAAAAAAAAAAAAAAAAAAAAAGTCCCAGGTCAGAGAGATCTTCAGAGATGGCTGTCTCTCCTTTCTCTCCATGCCTTCCCTGGTCATGTCACCAGACACTGTCACCAAGGCAAGGAGGCCACTTTGGGTGGGCACAGGAAGTCAGCCACCAGAATGTGGAACGCCGAAGCTGTGGGCTGGTAGCTGTGGGGAGAGGGTTTTGGGGATGGTGTCTACAGGCTGGTGGACAGTGGTCCATGTCAGGAGAATGCAGATTGAGGCTGGAGACGGAGGCAGTGTTCAAGATGGCGAGCATGCCCATATGGGGCAGAAAGAGGCAGCGCTTATGGCAGAGGTGAATGCGCCATTGGTGGTACTTACGGTGGAGGTGGTAGAGCTAATGGTGATTGGCACTGGATATGGCAGAGGCTGTGCTTAGGAAGATGGTGTTTTAAGTGTACACCTAGATGGCTCGGACATCTCCGAGCGGTTAGGGTGATTTCGGAGATGCCAGGGCTGGTGCGAAGTGGTCTCTTCACCTCAGCCCATCCCCGTGGCTGTGCGCAATGACCGGCTCAGGGTCAGACCCTGGGGACATGGAGACTGGCACTCAGGCTTTGATATCCACGGACACCGTTCCTGCACTCGTGTCTGGGGGTGCAGAGAGGAATCACCTTTGGGAGTCCTGTTTAGAGGGTCTGAGGCTGGGTGGCCGACCTCTGGACTGAAGAATGGGCCAGAGGCGTAAACCCCTCCACACTGCCCCTAGCTGCCAGCCCTGTCCAGCGCAGGTCTTCTACAACTAAGCAAGTCACGCCAGAATTCCTTCTGGCCCTGGGTCTTGGGTGTTAACTGTGGGTGAGGCTGAAGTGGCCTAGAGAGGGCTGAGACCATCACAAGCCAGATGCCGCACTGGGGAAAATGGCCAGAGGTCGTGTGCCCACTGCCACATAACTCTCTGTGAAGGAACAGAAGCGAGGGCCCCCAGCTTGGTTCTGCAGATGCCTGACGAGCGAACTCTGCCAACGTCCCAACAGGTCGGGCCATGAGCCGCAGGGGCGCGCCGCGCTCGGCTGGCCTGGCTGTCGCCTAGGTGCCCTGGCGGCTGCTCGCCCCGCCCTGCCCACGCCTCTCCAGCCAGCCGCTGTCCGGCCTTGGCGGCCGGAGGGAGGAAGCGCTGTCCTCATTCCACCTCTGGCTGCCGCGGTGCCAAGTTGCTGGCCGCAGCAGCAGCGAGAGTTGGAGCGGAGGGCAGCGGCGCCCTCCCCGGAGCCCCCTCGAGCTCGGGGTTACTCACGTAGAGTCCGGAGTGCTCGGCGCCGAAGAACGGGAAGGGCACCGAGAGGGGCTGCAGCCCTGAGCCGCCGTCGTCCTGTTTCGGGGTGACGGCGTCGCCGCGCTTCGTGCCGAACGGGTAGAAGTCGGCGAGGGCCACCGCAGCGCGCACCCCGCGCGCCCCGAGCCCCAGGGCTGCGGCCAGCAGCAGCGTCCATGCGGCGCCGCCGCGCATCGCCGGGATCTGAGGGCGGACCACCGGGCTCGGGCAGGTGGCCGCAGTCACCGCACGGCCGCCTGGCCGCACCGTCACCTCTCGCTATCACGATCGCCTCTCGCTAGCTCGCGCCGAACTCTGGGCGCAGCAGCGCTTCGGAAGGCGAAGGCGCGAAGCAGGACCGCGGACCGCTGGCCCACCTCCGGGACCCGGGTTTAAGTAGTCAGCCCAGGCAGCCACCCGGGAGGGGCGGGGATAGGCGGGGTCATGCAAATAGTGGCATTTTTAGCTTGCTGGTCTTCTGGGTGGGAGGGAGCCCGAGAGAGACTCCCCGGTCCCCTGTCTCTTGGCGCTTAAAGCCAACCCAATACTGGGTTGGCTCCATCTGCAGCCCCGAGACCCCTCGCTCTGGAGCTCCCTCACTGTTGGGCATTCGGGAGGTGAGGATTTGCATTCTCCACACACCAGCTTAGGTCCTGCCCACGAGGGGCGCCTGGGCTAATGCAGCAGTTCTGAGGCTGACAAGTTAGTTGCCTTCAGGTCTGATTTTGGACAGGCTTCCTTCCTGTGTCTCCTCTGGGGTCCCTGCCTGGCCAGAGCATCTTTCCCTGATAGAATGTCAGTCTGGGCTACTTTTCCCTGCAGCACTCACACCTGTGACTACACCCCAGTCCTAGCCTAGGTCACCAACTTTCAATGCCAGCGAGGCCTGTCCCAGGATCTTTTCCTTTTCTGTTTCGTCGAAGGTGAACCTTGGGCCTGGGAGACTTGAAGGCTTACACAGCTTTCTCCCTATGTAAGGGGTTTTCTGAAGGGATCAGACACTGCTGGAAAATATCAGGGAGACCTATGGGGTAGGGCAGTACCCAGGCCCCGGGGACAAGTTGATAAGTGTTGCTGGAGGGGGCAAATCAGTGGCTGTGGTGCCCTAACCCCCCTTGCTCACCTTGAGAATTGCTTTCTAGGTGGCTGTCCTGTCTCAGGGGTGCAGTTTGGTTGTTTCTGTATCCCCAGGCTTCCTACAGGGACTTGGTCCCCACCATCTTGTCTGCTACCAGGTCCTACATGCAACTATGAGCCAAATCTGTGATCCCCAGACAAGATGATGCCTCTCACAGAGAAGTAACATATAAGCTTCGAGAGCAACAGCAGCCGCTGCTGAGATTCTGAGTAGCTTTATGCTGGCTTTGTGTCTCTCTTTGTCTCCTGGGATCTCTCTAATAGGCATGTGCTGTGTTTCAGTTAGAGCAGGGAACATTACATACTGTTTCTAAGGTATAGTGGAGAGTTCTCTGTGCGTCAGCCAGGGGTTCCTGGCTTGCACAGATCCTGTTCTCAGCAGCCTTACCACTGGATGGTCCCAACCCTCCTGCCTTGGCGTCAGGGACAGGCGCCATGTTGAAGGGGGTGGCCCCTGACAGTCACCTTTGAAAAGCCTGAATGTGGCTACTTCCTTCCATCCCATGCCTAGTGCCTGGCCTCCTTTACTCTTGCCCACCCCTCTAGCTTTGTGTGGTGATCCTGTTTTACAGAGGGGTAAACCAAGGCTGGGAGTGTGTACTGTTCAGCTACACAGTTAGCTGTGGAGGATCAGCCAGCCCCCCCCCAGGCCCAGGTGTGCAGTCACACCCCTTTGATCCCAGCACTGAGGAGACAGAGGCTTTACTCTGCATGCCCGGCCCCAGCTCCCCACGCCAGCGCTTCAACCCTTCTCCGGGTTGGACACACGCCTAAGAGGGTCTGAGCAAAGCCCCCACGTCTGCTTGGGAAGTTCTGGGTTGCCCCAGGACTCAGCACACTGTAGGTACACCGTGGTGAAGACTGCCCTCCTTCCTGGTATGTGAAGCAGTGGGCGGGACATGGGGTCAGGGCTGCATCCCACTCGCATTCCCTGATCATCTGTGGGTACCAGGATACAGGCTTGTGTGTCGGTGGAGCTGCAGGCTGGGGCCTCTGATCTCCATTGAGAGTGGTGAGCATGGGTGCCCTGTGCAGTTTTCAGTGAGGGTTTGGGGGTGTGGTGGGATGCAGGGCTAACAGAAATCACACACACACACACACACACACACACACACACACACACACACACAAAGACCCAAAGACCCAGGCAAAAGGGGAAAATAGCTTTTTTTTTTTTCAGGTGCTAAAAATATCAGGAAATACTTTTCAGCAATGTGCTGTTTTAGCCCCCCCCCCCCACTGGACTCAAGGGCGCCTTTGTCTCTACCACAGAAAATCCACATTTATCACAACCCAAATCGTTTTATCAAGCAGGCTCATGTTCTGCAGCAGGAAATTTGAGCTCCCCAAGAGGCCTGTGACACTTTAATTTAGGGCCCGGCTGTGTGTGCCTGCTTTGGTGGGGGAGCCCCAGAGCCACCCACCAGATGTTCAGGCCTTGGGAATCCGTGAAGGTCAAGATGAGGAACTCTACCCCTGTTCTGCCTGGAGGGGGGGGGCTGGGCTAGTCAGCTGGTCCCACACAGCAGGCCTGAGGCTGCAGCCCACCTCTGCCCTCCCCTCCTTCCCTTTGGATACAGCTAGAGAAACACATGTTCCCCTGCAAAGGCTCTTTCTATCATGTGGCGCAACCAGAAATCCCCACCACTGGTGACCCCTGAACTGTTGTTCCAGGATGGGGTGGGAGAGGCCCCAGGGCCCAGGGCAAGTGGGGCTCTGCTCCTGAGGAGAAACCCGTAGCACACTGGACAGTTCACCTAGACAGAGGGCTGCCACGCCTGCACAGCCTCTGCACACGCGGCCTGCCAACCTCAGCGCCCATGACATGCCCTTTGCTATTGATCTGGGGGACACAACTGGCTGGAGCTCAGCCTGTGCTCCCAAAATGGCTACAGCTCGCTTTGTCTGGAGCAAACAGGAACTGAAAAGGCCAATTCAGGTGGGGCTCAGGCAGAGCCTTTCCATCCACTTGAGTGTGGTGATGCAGGAGTTGGCCTATGGAAAACCCTGAGTCCCCTTGAGGTACAGGGTGGACGGGGACATAGGCATGTGTGGACCTTTGCTTCACCAGGTACCTTGTGTGTGTGTGTGTGGGGGGCATCTCCTGCAGGGACAACTCTATTTCCTGTTTCCTGAGAACGGAGGCAGCTGACATAGGATGGGCATGTAGAGCTGAAGAAACCACAGCCGATAAAGTCATGCTGCTGGGATATTTTTAAAGGCATTGGGGAAACTCTGATGACATCATGCCAAGCAAAACATTTGGGAAACAGCATTCAGAGTAGCGTGCCCATTACAGCAATCCTAAGTGTGTGTTCTGGAGAAAGGAACTGCTCAAGTTTCTGCTCTGCAGCAGTGGGGTTCGGATTATGTGTGCTAGTGTGATCTTTACATGCCTCCTGCGAGGTTTTATTTTCTTGTATAACAATCTTGCAGTCAGGCACGGATCACATATTCCAGATGGTCTCCAAAGAGTGGGTCACCCAGGAATATTGCGGTGGTTGTGGTTTGTGTCATGAATTCCGTGAGGCTCTGCAGTGACAAAGTTGCCCAATGACATTTCTCAGATGCATCTCCATTGTTAAAAGACACAGGATGCATTTTTAAAAATATTAATGTTTTAGACATCTCGAGTAAGCAGTGCAGGTCCATTGCATCCTGCTCCAGCATAGGCAAGAGGGAGGAACCTTTGCCCCCTGTTCCAGGTCTGACGCTGGCCAATCTCTTGACGTGACAACTGAGCTCTTAGTCTGGCCTTTTCTCCAAGCTGCCCCTGGGCCCAAGTCCTTCTGTTCTGTTTGTCTTCTACCTACAGTGACCTGAGAGGCTGGCAAGGCTGGTTGGTGGCTCCAGGTGGGGGCACCCAAAGGCATGGCAAGAGCCCCTTGGTCAGAGGGAATGTTAGTACCCTCAGTATAGGTTGCAGGATGGCATGTGTCTTTCAGACTGTGTTCTGTCTCTAGTAAGAACTGGGTCAATGCCTGGGCCCTTCGTGTGTGTATGTGTATCTGTTTGTCTGTCTGTCTTCTGGTGTTCAGAACCCTGGGAGGTACCTCTTCTGTATTCTGTGCTCCCCAACCCCTGGAGGGGATAGGCAGGTAGAGGCCCATTGTTGGAGTGCCAGCTGAGGAGCTACACATGGGATCCAGGGTGGTCTAACAATATATGTGCAACTCCAGGCTCCATGAGGAGCCCTGAGACTCCATCATTGCAGGACCAGGCCTGAGGACCACTTTCTCGTTCTCACAGACACACCCAGAGAGCCTATTCTCGGGTGAGGGACAGAGCTGAGACATCAGCTGAGGCTAACACCTCCAAAATGGATGCTGGGATCCATTGGACTTCGTACAGACCAGGAACCAAGAAAAGAAACGACCTGCCTCTCTTTGGAAGTGGTGCTGGGCAGTTCCAGCAGTGAGGTATCAGAGCCCTCTCCTCTCAAACTTCCAGGCAGACAAGAGCCCGAAGGCTAGGTTCCCCATCACCTGCATAGCCTGAATTGTTCGGCCCAGCTGCCTCCTTCCTTGGCCTCACCCTCACCTTTACCGAGGGATGCCATCTGTCCTCTGTAGTTTGCATTCCTGTGCCTGCGGGTGGATTGGAGCAAGGCCCGAATGGAGTGAGCTGTGGGGTCCTGGACTTGACCCACGGGCTGCCAATAGTCAGTTACCCATCTGATCTTGGCCCAGCTGCAAGGTTTGCGCATCCACAAAAGGTGGCCTCTGAGCACAGCCGTGAAGGCCTTCTGCAATCACCACCACTCTGCCCAGGGCAGTAATCACCAGACTCTGACACACACCAGTATGCACACGCCTTAGAAAATGTTTAGAGAAATGCAATATATGTTTGTTTCTTTTAGAAAACATCTCTTTCCCCCAGTACTTTCCTTTATGTTGAATAGTTAAAAGCAAAATCCCCTGCACCGATTAGATACTCAAAGCATGGCACTCTCAGAAGCCCTCACTGTACTGAGTGTTCTGAGCAGCCAGTGCAAATGCCCCGGGTCACGGGGAGCACCTTGGTCACGGGGTCTTCCACTGAGAAGTAGCCAGGCCTCTCTCCACTGAAGTGTTTCCTCCACTTCCAGGCACATTTATGGGAAATGTCCTCAGCAGGCAGCTTTAATCCCACGGATGCCCCTGGGACACCAGTGAGCCCTGCAAGAA